AGGGTTGCAGAGATTGTGGGAGTGGCCAACTAATGACTTGTACAGCCTTAGACCTATGCTATGAGAGTGAGCCCACCCCTGGTATTGCCTAGAACACCAGGACACAGAGGCTGGATGGCTCAGAGACCTAGGATAGAATCTTGGAGAAAAAAATCAATGTTATGATGCCTAATGACACTCTGTTATACTAATAGATAGGTAACTAACCCAATAGTCATCAGAGAGGCTTCACTCAGAAACTGGCAGAAACAGATGCAGAGAGCTATAGTCAAACATTTGGCCTACCTTGGAGAGTCATGCTGAAGAGAGGGGGGAAGGATTGTAGAAGCCAGAGGAGTCAAGGACTCCTTACAGAAAACCTTACAGAATCAACTAACCTGGGCTCATAAGTGCTCACAGAGACTGAACTGACAACCAGGGAGCCTGCATGGGACTGACCTAGGCCCTCTGCATATATGGGGCAGTTGTGTAGCTTGGTCTTCTTGTGGGATTCTTAACAGTGAGAGTGGGGGATTTCTTTGACTCTTTTGCTTGCTTTTGGAACCCAATTTTTCTTCCTGGATTGCCTTGTCTAGCCTTAATAGGAGAGGTGATTAGTCTTACTACAACTTGATGTGCCATGTTTTGTCATTATTTATGGGAGGCCTGTGTAAGCTGAAGATTCTGTCCCTCTTGCTAGCTCCATATAACCACACAGAAATTTATTATTATTAATTATAAATGCTCTGTTGATAGCTTAGGTTTGTTAGTGACAAGCTCTATAACTTAACCCATATTTTGTATCTATTTTCTTCCACATTGCTTGGTACCTTTTTCCAACATGGCATGCTCATCTTGCTTCTCCCTGAGGCTCATAGCAACTTCACCCTTCTTCATCCCCATGCTGAGGACAATTTCAAGAGCCATGCATATTGCCTGCCTGAGTTAAATTTCTGTTGTCCAGTATTGAGCCCCTAACCAGAAACTTTTGACATGCCTGGACAAGTCCTGAGTTATTAGAAAATAACTTAACATTTCCTTATCTTTCCGCTATGGTGACCACTAGTAACAATGTTTTGTGGTTAGGTTGCTTGATTGGGTTGCTTGGCAACTCAGCAGTCCCCTGATCTTTTCCCAAAGAAAGTTTTCTGGTCTGCTTACTATAAAACCCACCTGAGAAAAATAAAATTTTGCATCTTGATGAGAATACTGTCTTGCTGTCAATTCTTTGTGTCTCTTGTCCCTTCATTCGCCATTCCCCCTTCTAGGGTCTCTGCTGAAGATCCCATTGGCCAGGACATCCCACACTTTTTCCCTGCATGCAAATCCCAATTAGCCTCCTCCTGCCTAGCTATTGACCATTTAGCTCTTTATTAATCCAATGGAAGCAACACATCTTCACAGTATATAAAATGACTATTCCATAACAGGCCTTCCCTTTTCTGAATACAAAAAGGAGGAACAATGGATGAAGAGTGGTAAAGGGGAGGTTGTGGTAAAGGACTGGGAGAAGAGGAAAGAAGGAAAACTGTGGTTGACATGTAAGATAAATAAAATAATTTAAAAATTATTTTCCACACAAAAAAATTAATGATTTGAGATTGAGCTTTTATAGTCTCTTTAGATTCAAGTATTCCACGTACTTAACTATCCTTTAAATACCAGAACTTAAATGAAATACATTCTATCATATAGAAAACATGTAAGCCATGATTGATTAGAGAAAGAATTGTGTACATACAGAAATGATGCTGGAGAAGAATCATTTGTTAAGTATGCTGAGCCTTCTTTTAGTTCTAATGTTGGAAAAGGCTAAGAAAGCTTATGCTCCTTTCTGTCATTTTACATACATTTCCCTATGCATTGGTCTCATTAAACTTCTTTTGACTTTTGTCAAAAGTAGTAAAAATGGGTTTATTTATATATTTTTATATTTGTCTGGTCCAAGGTTTTATGCAGCTCAGCTAGCCTTTGTATAGAGGATAACCTTGAGCTCTTGTCCTCCTGCCTCGACCACTCCTGCTGGGTTGACACCTGTGCACCAGCACATTGGGTTTTATGTGGCATTGGGATCACACCTATGGTCTCATGCAAAGTAAACACTGTTGTGTCCCTACCCCAACAGGTCAATTTATTCACCTCTTCATTATGAAACATATTCTTTTCTCATACAATATAATCTGAATATAGTTTCACCTCCCTCTATCCCACCCAGGTCCCCCCACATCTCTCTTCATCTGGATCAACTCCTTTTCTGTCTCATTAGAAAAAAAGCAGTATTCAAAGAGATAACAACAACAACAAAATCACAAATAAAATACAATAAGGTAAAACAAAAATACATCATATCAAAGTTGAACAAGACAAGCCAACAGAAAAATAAAATAAAAGAGCCCCAAAGGAAAGGCACAAGCATCAGAGACTTACTCATTTACATATTCAGGAATCCCATAAAAGTACTAAACTGAAGGAGATAGTATATGCAGAAGACTTGGTGAAGATCCCTGTAGACCACATGATTGCTGCTTCACTCTCTTTGAGTTCGTATGAGCTTTGCTCAGTTGTTTCAGGGGACATTCTTCTCCTGGTATCCTCCATTCCCTTGTCTCCCTGACTCCTGCCTCCTCTTCTGAGGGACTCCCTGAACTCTGAGGGGAGTGATTTGATAGAGACATATCATTTAGAGCTGTGTGCTCCAAGGTCTCTCACTATGTAATATCTGGATGTGGGTTTCTAAATTTGTTCCCATCTGCTACAGTAGAAGGCTTCTTTGATTACAGCTAAATAAGGTACCAATCTATGACTATAGAAAAATGCCATTAGGAATTATTTTATTGGTTTTTGGAGGCTAGTAGAGTTTGGTTATCTCTATAACCTTAGACTGTCTAGTCTTGGGTTCTTGGTTACCCAAGCAATGTCAGATATGGGTTGCATCTTATGGAGTGGGACCTAATTCAAATCAGATATTGATTGGTTACTCCCACAAGGTTTATGTTTGTGCCACCATTGCTCTAACATATATTGCAGACAGGATAAATTGCAGATCAAAGTATTTTGGCTTAGTTGATGTTTATATTTCTGTTCTGGTATCCTGCAGAGTATCTTCTCGTACTAAAGACACTAGGTAATAGGGGTAAAGGTCCTGTAGGATTCAGCTCTATCTTTCCATGCTCAATGAGTTGTGTAGGTGTTGCCTTAAGCAATATGGCTTTGCTGTAAGTTTGTGGAGGGCAACCTATTGTCTTGTCAACAGCCTGGGTTGGTCTAGGGATTTCCATGGGACCCCTTTGTTCAACATTTCAATTGGATATTACTCAGTTTTGATACTGGAAGCTTCATTTTATGTCAAGAGATGACCAGTTGGGATTTTGTTTCTTCCCTTATTTGGAGACTTCATTAAGGTCTCTTTAATATATTTCAGAAAGTTTCCAATGCATAAGATTTCCACACCACCACTCAAATAACCCTCAATTCTATCTTGGTCTCCCTTCATTTCCTCTTTCAATCCCATCTTTCCTTCCCCACCCCACTCATTCTCATCATTGGACCATTCCCCCTGGTCCATTCTACCCATAAAATCTGTTGTTTTCCCCTCCCAGAAAGATATATGTGTTCATTCCTAGTTCCTTCATCTATGACTAACCCATCTGGGTCTATGGATTGTAGCTTGGTTAACAATTTATTTAATGGCTAATATCCAGATATAAGCAAATACATACCCTATTTGTCTTTATGTGACTAGATTATCTCATTCAAAAAATTTTTTATCTACTTCCATCCATTTGCCTCTACATTTCATGATGTCAGTTTTTCTATTATCTAAGTAATACTCCATTTTATAAATGTACCACATTTTCTTTATCCACCCTTCTGTTGAGGGACATCTAGGTTGTTTCCAGTTGCTGGCTGTTATGAATATAGCAACAATGAACAGTTGAGCAAGTGGCCCTGTGGTAGGATGAGGTGACCTTTGGATATATGCCCAAGAGTAGTATAGCTGGATCTTAAGGTAGATTGAGTTCCATCTTTCTGAAGAACCTCCATATGGATTTCCATAGTAGCTATACAAGTTTTCATTCTCACCAGCAGTGGAGGAGTGTCCCCCTTACTCCACTTCACTAGAATGAGTTGTCACTTGTAGTATTGATCTTAGCCATTCCGACAGGCATAAGATATAATCTCAAAGCTGTTTTGATTTGCTGTTCTCTGATGGCATTTTTATCTAAGTGTTTCCTTTAATGAGAATTCTCTGTTTAGGTCTGTGCCTCATTTTTTAAATTGGGTTATTTGGTTTCTTGATATCTAATATTTTGAGTTCTTTATATGTTTTGGATAGCAGTCCTCTATGGAATGTGGAACTCTATGGAAGTGGAATTCCTAAAAATCTTTTCCTATTATGTAAGCTGCCTCTTTATCCAAATCATGGTATCTTTTGCCATGCAGAAGCTTTTCAGTCTTAATTAATAATGTCCCACTCATTAATTGTTGATCTTCATGCCTGTGCTATCAGTGAGTCTTCAGAAAGTCTTTTGCCATGCCAATAAAATTAAAGCTATTCCCTGCTTTCTTTTCTATCAGGTTTAGTTTATCTAGTTTTATGTTGAGGTCTTTGATATATTTGGAATTGAGTTTTGTGCAAACTGATAGGTATGGATCTATTTGCAGTCTTCTAACACAGTGGGAGGTCTCACCATTTCTGGTCTCAAGTTATACTTCAAAGCTACAGTGATAAAAAGCACCATAAAAACAGAGATGTTGAACAATAGAACCAAATTGAATATCCACACATAAACCTGCATGTCTACAGACACCTTATTTTTTGATAAAGCAGCCAGAAATACACACTGGAAAAAAATACAGCGTTGTCAACCAATGGTGCTGGTCAAACTGGGTACCTGCATGTAGAAGAATGCAAGTCGCTCCAACATGTCAGTTTCTTAAGATGTCGATATGGTTACCTTTCTCTTCTGCTCTTTTAGAGAACACTATTTAGTACAAATGTATAGTAGATAAACTATAAGTATATATATTTTGTGAAAAATTTCTCATACTGTTTATCTTTACCCTCTTCACATTCAAGAACTCATTCAGTCTTCACATCAATAATATAAACTATTGTTATCCTTAGTTTACATAGAGAGAAACTGAGTTGCAAAATGATTACAGAGTTGCCTGAGATGAATAAGCAAACATGTGACAGATGTGAGAACACAGAACTCCTACATATTAATTATGCTTCTTACTGTCTTCATACTGTTGTTGTAAAACAACAGAAATTTATATAAAATCCTATCATAGATAAAATACTTTTAAGTAGTGTTAGAAAATGTAAAAGAGGAATTCAGCATATTGCCTAATAAAGTTGTTGGAACCCATCTAGTTTCCCAGTGGCTGTACCCATCAGGACTGCATAAAAGGTTGATTGGACCATGGGCCTGAGTACCAGGTGTTTGGAAGGTTCTACCCGTGGTTGTAACCAGCAAGGGAGATGTCATTTGCCCCTCTCCTTGGCATTGTTATAAATAACCCTTTGAAATAAAGTTCTGGGCCGGTGGATACAGATCCAAGCCCACCTGAGGCTATCTTCATTTCTCTTTGTTTCTCTCCCCTCTTTATTTCTAAGTCTCTTAACCCTCATCCCTCAAGAGTCCCTGGGGTAAGTAAACATGGGAGCTGGTCCCCCACACAAGGTATCTTCTTCATATGATCATCAATTCAATTTTATAAAGAACTTTTTTAAATGCTCAGAACTGTTTATCCTGTTATTTTGGTTTGAGGGATAGGTCATAGAACTTAGAACTTAGGCCTCATGTATCCTAGAGAAGTTCTCTACCATTGATCTGTATTCTCAACATAAGAAGATTGTAAATAATTTTTACATGTTTTGTGATATACTAAAATAACCATGTTTATAGTATAAATTATTATCATGTTACCAGATATATTTTAACCAATTGTTAGGGAGGTTTTCATATGATATAATTTTAATAATGATATTTTGTATTATTTATACTATAATATTGTTGTTATCCTGTTTTTAGTTCTTAAATTTGTAATTTATGTCATAATTTTGAAAACAATTATGTGTATTATGATTGAAACTATGTTTGATAAAATTAAAAATTGTCTGAACAAGTTAAGAGCATGAGGAATTTGACTTTAAATTTTAGTTTTGTTCTTCATGAATATCTAATCTCAGACATTGCTAAATTTTTACCATGGGTTTTTTTTTTTAATCATAATCAAAATCTCATCATCGGTTTTAAATTCTTAAAACAGGTTTCACAGAATTATCAAAAGTAGTCTGTCATGATCACATTACTTTAACATTACTTCTTTTAAATTGCATCTCCATTATGAAAAATGGTGTAGAGGTAGGTATTGAACTGGTTTTATTTCATATTACAATGTGAAAAAGTCAGTCTTGATATTTTTTAGCCTAAAAAAATGTCAAAAGGATGCTGTCCTTATTCTTTCTTTGATCACAATGCTAAGGAGCCCATTGCAAATGTCTTAATCTAACCCCAAACCACACAATTGTTAGCATGTTTATTCTGTACATACTTTTATCATTTCACTGATGGATTGAGTTTACATGTTTCCTTTATTAGAAAACCAGTTTCAAGAGTTTAAAGAATGTTACTATTTGTAATTCTTTAACCCTGGTACCTGCAGAATCAGCTTGGCTGATATTAGTCTTTCAATAAAGAGTAAATGATTGATAGAACAAATAATATGTTGTGGTTTGCTTGTGATCTCAATGATTTGTGAACTATATATAGTAAATATCTGATTAATTGACTTTAGAATTTAAATTGAAGTTCAAAGGTCCACATTTATTGTAAAATATCCATAAAATATTAATGCACGAGTATGCCTAATTGTTTACATATTTAATTAATTATTAATTTGAAATTACTGAAACTTTTATTATGCAGTGTATTATTTAGTACATGTGTATATTAAGTGATATCTTCTTAATACCATCAAATTGTCCATTTTATTATTAAAATAGAGATGGACAATTGACTTTATTAAAACTGACATCACACAAATGATTCCAAAAGATGACGTGAGTTGTTGAAAATTATTAAAAAATTAATATTGTTGAATTTCAAGTTTGATATTTTAATTATGTACTGTATTTTTGGAGATAAAGGTAATAAATAATAACTAAACCATTGGAAATCACTTTAAAGAAGCAATAATAAATAACATTTTTTTAATGTTAGGAAACAAAAACAAAGAATGCAGGCAGATTGCACGCATTTTATGTGTCAATTCAAAAATTGGATTTCCTGCTCATTTCCAGCTCCATATATTTTATATAACATGTCTGTAGCCAAATTATGATTCTGAGATGAGAAATGCTGCAAAAGAAAGGTCATTCTGCAGAAATAATAGCATGATAACTTCCTTTGCTCTGGGTGAGTTAATGCTGAGAGATATAGATGTCCTCCCATTTAGATAAGAAAAGATAGAGGAAATTGAGTGGTAATTTTAATATTTCCTTTGTCTCTTTGAATAAAATCCATTCATTTTATGGCTTTTACAGAACTTTTTTATAGAAGCAAAGAATACAGCTAGGTTATTAGGCAAATGTAATTGCCTGATAACAGAGCTTATGAGTCTTCATTTGGTCCATGTTTAACTTCCAAAGGGCTATCAAGTAGAATACCACATTCAAAGTGAATGGAAACATTACTCATGCACACTTATAACAGAGGTGACATTTTAATAAAATAGTATATGCCATTTATACAGTATCAAGTTCCTACTTCATATTGTTTAAGAGCAAAGCAATTAATATGTTTTTAGGCCCTCCTTTGGCATTAAAAGGCAAAAGGATACTAAATAGACTAAGTATCAAGTACTATGTAAGATAATGTCTACAGAATCATGTTCTCCCTAATTTAATATGAGCATATTAAGAAATGATCAAGCATTAAATATAATCTACTTGTTTATGTTTGTATGTTCTACATGCTCTGAGTAGTGAAAGAAACTGATTAGATTTTGAAAGGTGAAAATGTGATGCATTGGCTATGTGTCTTTAATTTGGAGTCTTGAATATATAACATTTTGAGTTTAAATATGTTTGCTAGTCATTTTTATCACTATAACAAAATACATGAACTTTTAACTCATAAAAATACATATTTGTCTTTTATTACAGTTTTTAATATTATATTGCATGATTAAGATGGTATGTAGTTTTGATCCTGATAGACAATGATGCACCATGGTAGAAATGTATGTAAGAACAAAACCACAAACACATACACACACACATTGCAAGCCAAATAAAGATTAAGGAAGGGGTTGGCATGCCATAATTCTCTTCTATTCCATTCTTCCAGCGACTTGAAGATAATTTGCTTGGCTCTACTTTCTAAGGATCTTACAAATTCTCAATACAATTCCTACTAAAGCAAGGGTATAGCACAAAAAACACTGATGTATTGATTACTTTCCTGTGACTGTGATAAACAACATTATCAAATGCAAGTTAAGAGGACTTGGTTTATTTTGTCTTGAAGTTCCAAAGAGATGAGTTTGTGAAGGCAGAACAAAGTCATGACAATAAGGGGCAGGGATGAGGGCAGGAAGAGTAAGCTAAGAGCACATATCCTAAACCACAGGCAAAAGGCAGAGAAACACATTTGGAAGTAGGTGAGGCATTTTACTCTTTAAAAGCTGCCACCAGTGACATTCTTCTTCAAGCCTGTGCACATCTTCTAAGTGTAAACAATGCCAACTGGGTGCCATGTGTTCAAATGCCTAAAACTACAGAAGGTATTTCCTATTTAAACCATCCACATTTGGGGAGATGTTCAAACACCCAAAAATTAGTTATTTGAGTCATTGTTTTAAAAAGACTTACATAATTTATGTCTGTATGTGTCTGAGTAAGTATAAGAACATTTATAATGCAGGTGCATGCCAAATGACGATATTAGATCCATGAGAACCAGAGTTACAAACATTTGAAGGAAGTCCAGCTTATTACAAAGGTGCTGGAATTTTAACTCTGATCCTCATGACTATGCAGCCAGCACTTTTAATGACTAAGATATCTCTCCAGACCCTGATTTACATTTTAACTATCAGAAGAAGGTAATCCTAACAGAGAGGCTTCATACTAAAACTGTCAGCAGAGGGTGTTCCTATTGGAGAAACAGTGATGACTAATGGAAGAATGCTAAGTTTCTGACTTTTATTTTAAAAAGACATTTACTTATTTTATGTGTGTATGTGGGACAGGGCTCTGGTATGCAATGGTGTGTGGGTAGCTCAGAGGACATATCATGAGGTTTCAGTTTACCTTTCTACCCTATGGGTTCCAAGAACTTAATTCATAACAACAGGCTTGTGGGCAAGCACTTTAACCTTCTCAGCCATCTTGTTTGTCCAAAGTCAATTTCATAGAATGGAAACTGATTCCCAATTGAGTCCAAAATGGCTATTTTTCAGTTCAAATGGTTCAATTTATTACCTTGCACATGCTATGTAAGTGTTCAAACACTGAGGTACATATTAGACCCTTAGAATGCCTTCTTATAACAAAACTGAAGTGTTATTGTGTATGGAAGCATCTTCCAATCTTTCAGAGTATAGCACATATTATTCATGTGTTGTATGTGAATACATATGTTTATACCTGTAGTTGTTTCTATATAAAACCTTCCTCTTTCTTATTTTATTTCTATTTTTGCTTATGTATTTATTTATATATAATAACATGTTTCATTATGTTTTTTGTATGCATGCATATAAGGTACTTTCCCCAAAAATGTGGTGTATGTGTATGTATACACAATGGAGTATTATTCATCCATTAAGCAGAGTAAATAAGTGCTTAGCATAGAAAGTAAAAATGAAAATGGCCACCATATTGCAGATTCTTGTGAACTGAAAGCTCAATGAAAAGAAGAGTGGGTTATAACTGTAATTTCCCTTGACGATGTTACTATCCTTCCATTCTCCATTATACTAAGGGCCAGACAATATTACAAACTTTTGTTCTTCCCTGG